TATCATGGATTATAATCATAAAATATGTTTATAGAGTTGGTCAAGTATTTAAGAGGCTAAGATATTTATGGGATTAATGGGAGTGCCATAAAATTTTTTAATGGAAATGTGAGAAGTTTTGAATTAGCTAAATAAAAATATTAATAGAGAGGTTTCAAAATGTAGTGAACTACAACAACAAAAATTCATTTTATATTATTTTAATTAACTGAATTTTTGATTGACCATACAGCTGTTTCGACTACTGCCAATTTCCCATCATCAGTGGTCTTACAAATAGTTCTTGTATTTAATTATGCGTAAATAATTTTTTGAGACTGCAAGTAATAGAATTTGAACTCATGTCCTGCCAAATTTGAAGCTCAGAGTCAACGCACCTTAACCAATTGACTCAAAGCCGTATACAAATAATGTTAATAGTGAGGTTTCGAAAAATAGTGAAGTACAACAAAAATAAAATTTTTGATATTAAGTGAAATAGTGATTACCGTCATATTGACGTTAAAATCAAATTTAATAAAAAATATTAAGTTAGTACTAGGGCGGTTTGATAAGTCAGTGACTTTTTGAATAAAACAAATTTTTTTTGGCAAATAAACATTTTATTTTTCTACATAATCATCTTTTAGCTCGATATATTTAGTTCAGCGTTTTTCTAATTTTCTTATTCCTTCCAAATAATAGATTTTCTCAAAGCTCACAAAATACGCCTTTGATACGGTAAATACGGTAATGACTTCTTCATTCCACTCAAATCTTTTACCACCCAGCCATTAGATTTGGAAACAGAAAATATTCGCACGGGGCTAAATCTGGAGAATATGCTGGATAGGGTAGCAGTTCGTATGTTTAATCAGCACACGAAATTCACTTTTTTCCATTTTCGTAAAAATTCACGAGGTTGTCTGCTTTGAACAGCTATCAAACACCAACCAAAATTAAAAAGTTGCCCACTGGTAGATTACAGTTGACGGCTGCACTGTTGCATTTGGAGTAACTGCGCGGGAAATTCAAAAAGTCACTGACTTATCAAACCGTCCTCGTATGTTTTCTTAAGAACCCATAACAAACTGAAAAGGTTTCAGAAATAATAAAAAATGGAGGAAGAGGAATAAGAGATTTTATGAAACAAAAAGAAGTAGAAAAATAGAAGTATTTTATCGAATATTATTCATTAAAATAAACGTTATAATAACAACAGACTATGACATTAAGTTTTCATTTATGTAGATAGACCTAAAATTTTAACAATTGACATTACCTTCATTAATGAATATTTAATTAATTGATAAACTTTTTACAAAATAAATTTTGAATGTGGAAAACGTAATGACACGAAGATGAAGTTTAATTAATTTATGAGGGATATGATAATTTTAATATCCTGATAACAATTACTTGATACCAAATAGATACCTTAAAATTCCCAAAACTAAACTTTTTACCACTTTTTACCTAAGACAATGAAATGATCCAAATTTGTTCACTGGCTTTGGGAATACTACCAAAATCCACCAAAATGCGAAACTTCCCGAAGAAATTCCTTATTAAAATATTCTCAATGGCTTTTGTTTTAAATGTTATTAGCATCCCTAGTTGGTTATAGAATAACCTTTTAGAATTTAAAGTTTATTTCAGGCTATTAATCAACTTATTAAAAATGTATGCAAGTAAAATACCGCTTAAGAAAAATGTTCTCATAAATTCTTTTGAGCAAAGTACACAGGAACTAACTTCAATATTTGCAAAATTTTGGGTACTCATCATTGATTAATGAGCGCTAAAAGCTAACAACATTTTCTTAAAATTTACCTTTATCCTGTTGGGAAAAATGTATGCGAAGTTGGTCCAAAAGTGTCCTGCTAAATGCATGGGCGTCGTCGGTGTGTTGCTTTCGATATTAAACTTTAGAACGAACACAGGCGCTTTATTAGTCATTTTGTTAAAAAGAAAATCCTTTTCAGTGAGGGAAATAGCTTGGTTTTCGGGGTGGATTATAGATGGTTAAGTTTGTAAAAAAGTTTTGAGTACATCCATTCTATTGTTGATAATGATGCCAATGACGATGATGTTGATGCTGATGATGACGTTGCAGGCTTTTTAGAAGTTTATGACTAATTAATTAAATGCGCTAAATTTTCTTTACGTCATCTTCTCCGCCGTCGAGTCTATTCCGCCTAAGTTTACTTTGCATAAAATATTAAATGCGGCAACTAATGCAGTAGAACGTTTGCTTTATATTAAAGAAATTAAATTATGTTTTAAATGAGAGTTAATCGATGAAGTTAAGCAGTTTTGTTGCTCCTATTGCCTCCGTCGCCGTCTTCACTCATTATTTTTACCTTAAACGTCTTTTCAGTTTACAAATTTATGCGCGAAAAAATTTCCATAGCAAAAAGTTTATATACATTTTTTATGTAAAGTAAAAGTTTTTAATGAGTTTGTTAAATGCGTATAAATTGTTTAAATAATTCTTACTCTTACCCCGATGGTCCCTTAACTTTTCCCATTTTCTGTTTAAAATTCAAATGTCAATGTATGCGCGACTAAAAGTAAAAAGTTGCCAGTAGTAAAGTGAGGAGAAAGAATACGGCACACAAGGTGCATAGCCTATTGGAATTGTAAGAAGGATTGTTATAAGTCAAATAAAAATTAAAAGGATTAAAAATGTTAATGCTACAGATTTCTAAAATATAATTCTTTCTTGTTTTACATAAAGATTTTAATACAGAAAAGTAACTTAAATTGGAGTTTAGATTTAAGGATATTGAGTTGCTTTCACTAATCGGTATGTATTTATGACTTAATAAAAAGTTTAAAATCTGTTTGTAATTTTTTTTTATATTCTAATGGATAAATAAACTAATATTAAAAAAAAATAGCATTGTTAAAGAAAAATGGGTCTTACTTAGCAAAGTATTATTAATGACAGTTTAGACCAATATATTTAATTTTAAAATTTCAAATTCATACTCTGATAAAACTTCTTCAAATAAATACTCAAAAATATGATGAATAATATATTTAAATATTCGATACACAATAATCTTATTTCAAAAGGAAATATACTCTTAAATCTATTATATTTACTCGTAAGCTAGCTTCTTTAATATCAATCAAATTCATATAAATATATAAAAAAACTCAATGCCAAATTTTTTTAGACATCTGGAGAGAAACGTATATAAGTCTTGTTAATACGTTTACACATATTTACTTAAAGGTTAGCTATTCTAATAGCTATGAAATCTATTTAAATATATAGAAAACCTAATACCGACTTGTTAACACATCGGTAAATAGACGTATGTGAGTCTTGTTAATATGTTTACACATATTTATTCACATGCTAGCTATTCTAATACCTATCAAATCTATTTAAATATATGGAAAACTTAATAATCACTACTTAACACATCGGTTGAGGAACATATATGAGTCTTGTTAATATGTTTACTCATATTTATTCATAGGTTAGCTATTCTAATTTCAATTAAATCCATATAAATATATGGTACACTGAACATTAACTTGTTAAGACATCGGTAGAGGAACATATATGCATTTTATTAATATGTTTACTCATATTAACTTATAGATTAGCTCGCAATTTTTTTTTGATCACTCAACTAGACATGAGAGTCAAAATTTCAAAACCACCTATGCAGTTGATAAACGAGTTGATTTTTCAAAAATCTATATTTGGAATATCTGTCGGTCTCAGTTATTAGAACACCTCCATATTGATATATTTTAAACTTGCTAGTCTTGAGCGTTTGGATAGAAAATATTCAGTGGTTTATTTTTTTTTCTACTAATCAATGTCTTCGGTATACTTGAATAAGTGTCTTATTGGTTTCTGGTTTTAAAATTTCTTACTACTTCAATTAAGAAAAAAGAAATCCACTGACCTCTTGAGTTCAATAATATGCTTACGTGTAAATGTTATAATAAGCATAAAGTTACAACAATAACGAAGTTGTAAACTACTTTAGAAGGAAATAGTGTTTGGCACGCGACATGTCACTCCCATGTCACATACAGCAAAACTCAGCATTGGATTTCATATGTTAAATGGTTGAAGTGTGTGAGTTACTTATTGGTATTTGGGGATTTGGGGAGTGCAAAGAGAAAAAGTTGAAATTCTTTTTTATATCCTCAGCCTCTACGGTTTAACATGAGGGCAGTTTTATTGTGCATAAAGTATCGTTTCAAACAATGCTGCAATGTCACGCACACAAAATTATTATTATAGCATCCTTGTTAAGTTTTGTGACTTCTATACTGCTTCAATTTGTGTCACATTTGTTGATAAGTTTCATCAAGGATATCATTATGACCAGCGAAACAAAGGTTTTGTGCATGTATGAAGTTATAATTGGTCTAGTCCCTTGATCATATTCTAGATAATACTTTATGTGAATTGTATTATATTTTTCTATTGGTAGCAGTCGTGGTTACAATGAGAAGTTTTTGTATGAATAAAAAAATGAAAATTAATACATTTGAATAATAATATATATAAGCATGTAAATAAACTTAATATGAGAAAGTTATCGGTAGAACACTAAATAAAAAATTAAATTTAGAATAGTTGTGACTTCACTTTTTTAAATATTTTTAATTGATGAATAAAAAGGCTGATGTGAATAGAAAATAAAATTTTATATGCCGCTATGTCTGAATTTTGTATCCCAGCAAAACTTATACGGCTATGTAAAATGACGTTGAGCAACACCAGCAGCTCCGTTAGAATCGGGAAGAACCTCTCCATGTCTCCATTTTGTCTTCATCATGAAGACAACATGGTTGTTATTGCAAATGTATTACGTTTTTAATTTTTGTTCTTGTGTGTATTGGATTAAGACAGCTCAAATGAATAGATTGTTTAGCGGCAACAATATAACTGCTAGGTAGGTATACTTAAATTAAAATATAATACATATGATTTAATTTTTTTTTTTTCAAATATATTTCTATTACAGTTTATTAGTTTCAAAAATATCTTGTTATAAATTTAATTTTTGTATAGAAGCATTTAAATATTTTTGTTTAATTTGAAAATTAGTCTGAGTCAGTCCAATCATCTTCTGAGGTGCATTCATTATCTGACTGTGCACAAATTAATTTATTCATTTTACATAACCAACCACCAATTGCATTTTTTTGTGCTAATACTGAAGGATTTATTTCGTTTTCAATTAATGGTTGTGCTTTAATAATTTCGATAAAGACCTTTCTACCCATACTCTGTGTATTATCGCAATATTTGTCCTTCTCTTCTCTTTCAATTAATTTTTTTTTCTTTAATTCTGCCTTTTCACTTTCCATAACTTCACGCATTACTTGTTCAAAATATTTTCTTCGCAATGCAATCAAATCATTAATTGGACGTTCAGGTAAACCACTGGTACGGTTAATACGTAGAAGACCAGAAGGACGTGAAGGACTAATGTAAGTGTTATCAGGGTCAGATTCACTTTCAGTTTCCCAAGGTAAGGCTTCATTTTCTAAGTTTTCAATAAGCTCACTTTGATTCTCTTCCTCAGGATCAATCAGAAGGGTAGAACTCTCATCTAAGTCATTAGGATCCATTATCTTTTCACTAATAGTTTAGTAGGATGCAAGTATTTAAAACATAAGATCACTGTACGTATCTTTCGTTATATGTAAATGGTAAAACTAGCTTACACTGACTGTATGACTATTAAAATTTTGAATTTATGCTGTAAATATATTGTAGAAGAGAGAAGACGTAGCAATATATGTAATACAAAAAATGTAATATAAAATTAAGATCTATTAAAAGAAAACTTTAAACTAAGATCAATTACCTCGGTATGGAACATTCAGCTTCTACTCTGTACTACCGTTACTTATGTTTCACTAAAGCCCTTTGAATGACTTGAAATACCAAGTGTCAGTTCTCTCCCTTTTCAAAAATTAATTAATATATATAATGGTGTAATCTTGGTAGGTAGCACTTCTTGATTTTATTGGGAGGCCCTGTGCATAATTTATTATAATACATTATGCATCTCAAATAATAATTGAACCAATTAAATCAGTAATACTTACGGAAACTTTTACATAAATTTTAGTGCATATTTTTGAAATTAAGTTTGAAAGATACCGAAATATGCCGAAATGTTTTTGCCGAAAGTATTGTCACTGTTTACACTATGGTTTTAATTTAGATTTATTTTGATAATATAATTTTCTGTTTATTTGATAGATCACACATATTATTTAATTTTAAAGTTTAAATTAAACATATAATTCAAAACATATTTGATCAGAAAAATTTAAGCTTAAAATATCAGTAATAATCAAGTGTTAGTTTAGCAAGTAAAATGCTGAAAGAATCGCATTTGAACTCGAGGAATCCAGAATCGGTATAGCAGATTGATTTATAATAAGATGAATTATAATAAGTATAAAATACTATAAGAAGATATAATAAGATTTATATTTAAGCCATTGTCTTTTTTTTGTTTTTTTTTTTTGTTGCTGTAGGTGTAAGCATCGAAAGCCACAGTGTGTGACTTGAACCTATTAAAACCACCTCTTAGGAAGGAGTATGGAGGATTGCAGTCACATACAGTGGATTCAACCCCATTCCAGTAATCAAGAGAGAGATAAGAGCAAGAGGCTTAATATCTAGGTTCATCAAAACCAGAAAGCATTGACGTAAGGTAGGGAAATTGGGTGTTAGTGAAGGGGGCAGGGTTATTAAACAAGCGTGGGGGTACTAGCGGTAGAGTCTGTGAGAGCGAGGCATGATGGAGGGATCAGAGTCTTACTCATCGAGGTAAAGGGATAGGTATTGCGAAGATTTGAGGAGTATGGCTAGAACTATGTCAAGTAATTTTGGCTGAATTCAGAAGGACTGAGTTAGAAAAGTGACAAGCATTTCTTCTCAAACTATTTGTTTTTTATTTACATTTTGGACTAAGTTTTTCGTTTTTTTCGTTTTTTAATGCTGTTAATTAGCACATTCTTATGATACATTAATTTTTAATGTCATTATGTTGCTTTATGTTTTGACTGTTTTTTTGAAAGGACTTTGGTTTTGACTAGTTGTTTTTGTTAAATTATGATGGTTTCAAACATTAAGTATTTAATAATGGTGGAGAGGTCTAGAAAGTAGTGAACTACAACAACAAAAATTCTTTATATATTACTGATTATTAAATTGAAAGAATAATAGTCAATAACAATAAGTAAATTATTAAAATGGATACTTTCGTAAATAAATGATTTTTATTAAAAATCGGGCACTTTAATCTTATATTGTACATATAAAATTTTTTTTGTCCTCTATCAATAGTTTTTTTTTATGGATTTCATATTTTAGGAAATAATTCGAAAGAGATACTACTTAGATGGAGTTTTTATGTAATTATTTCTTAAAGCATTGAACTGTAAATAATTTCTAATTCAAAAATGTGTCTACTTACATATCACATACCAATTACTAGAGCACATTAATGGTGAAATGAGCTGTAATTATAGATTTTTCAGATTATTGTTTAGTAGACCTTCTTAAGTCATAAAACTCAATATTTTTCTCTTCTCATGTCCATATCACTAAACTAGAACTATTAAAAACTCAAGTGATTAGAATAATAAGATCTCTTGTCGATGGTTTCCTGATTTTTTGTGAAACTTCTTAATATAGTATCATTAAATTAACTATAAATTTTAAAAACCCTTATATTAAACTATTTAATAAACTTTTCGTGGTTGTATAAACTTGAAAGAAAAAACTTCATTTTCCTAAATACGCAAAAGGTTATGAGGTTGTTTCTCGTTTAGAACTCATCGGCATACCAAATAAATCAAATAATTTCAAAGCAATCCGATTGAATTGAATTGAATTCATTCAGTTTTTCGTTGTGTATTTCAATCATTTACGGATACATCAGAAACAGACAAAAACATTTGTAAATTGCAATAAACGTTCGTAATTGACAATTGAACAAGTCAATACGAAATTAACAACGCCTTTCCTAACCGTTGTTTACCTTTAACGTTGCCCACATTTAAGTTTTTATTTAGTCATTTCTCACATGGAGCAGTGGCGATTGTACTCGGAAATGGCCATAGTTCGTTTATGGACTTTTGGTTTTTGGCACATCGGGCCAACAACAAGACAGGGGCCGAGTAAAAGGGAGCTAAAGGTTAGATACAGAATGGAGTCTAAACTGAATTTGGTCAGTGTTTGCAATCAGTGTTTGTTTGTTTGCAAACAAACGTCGCGTCGTTGACCGCTAACCGAGAAGGAATTGTTTACGATTTATTTGTTATTGGAACATTTGTGCTAGCATCCGTATCTGTATCTATACGTACCCATATGCTGATGTGCTTGTTCATTTGTGTCAGTGTCAGTGTATGTATCTGTGTCTACAGCTGTGACTGTGTGGTTGTGTAGATTGGAAAAGCAATGTAGTTATGTGTTTTACCATTGTTTGTAACCATGTTGTTTTATTTCGTTTTAATAAAAATGGACGTAAGCCGTTGTGGAGCAGTTTAGGAATATGGCGTAAGGGTCTCTGAATGTGGTTTCTGTGCTTGTTTCTAATAATGTACATGCTTTCGTTCTGTGTTTGTGTGTTAAAATGCGCTCGCCTGACAAGGTAAGCTCCATTATCGAATTTCTATTCGTACATTAATGGTCAATTTCATTTCGATTTAATACAGACTGTATGTCTGGTCTCGACTGCAATTACCACAGCCTCCTGTGGCTATCGAAGAAATACTGTAAAAATTAGTTTATTTGTAAATGTTTTTAGATATAAAAATACGAGTGCATGTATTTCATATGATGTTGTTTGTATTGTCATTGGTATTGAATTTGCAGTGGAAGTTCATTGTAATTTTAACAACTTGCTTCCGATGACCTAATGTTGATGTACTCAAATGCTTTAGAGTTCAAAAGTTACCTTCATATTTCATTTACTTCGATATTTATCGTTCAGATTTTGCAGTGAATGAATAATTTAAGGATGTTTTAAATGAAATTTTTCAAAACTTCAAAAACATAAAAATAACATAACTTTTTGTTGGAGATAATTTCCAGACAAGAATGTGCAGGTACCAGACAAGCTTTAATCTGTACATTTCCTTACAGAAGTTACGTCCGTCGTTGGTTCGTATTAAAGTGAAAAACTTTAAGTAGAATTTTTTAATTTGATACAATTGTACTGATTTCATTAAACCTATTATTTAAGCATAAAATCATAAATAATGAAATGAGTTTCTTATAATTAAAGTTTCTCTTAACATAAGTAGTTTTTAACAGAAAGTAAATATAAACTAATTAAATCAAAACTATTAAAAATTATTATAAAATGTATATTATAAATTATTAGTATTTATATATTAATATTACAAAATATTGAAAAGAACTACTACTGCTCCATTCCGTTTGAAGACGGTACCCTCTTTATTTCTTTTCTATTCTATTCTATTGAGAATTTGTAGGTCTGTTGAGCGGACCTTGATGCTAAACACACTCGTGTGATGTCCTGCCGTACCTGACATACCATATGTTACTAAAGTACAAGATTGATCCGATCAAAAAATACATAAAGGATAGAGCCCTGAAATTATTTGCGAAAACTGACAGACTTACCAACACCGCGTTATCAAATCTCAAAATGGTTACAAGCTCCTCGGGGACGTATGCAGATCTGAGGTCAATTATTGTTTAGTCTGATGAAGTGTTAAACAATAATCCAGTCAAGGCGTAAAGCGGGGTTTTAAAAATACCTCGAGTTAAGAAAGAGTAAAAGTGCTTAAGTGGACTGGCTCAAATAGCTTCAACATATATGGTATATATAAATAGCTTCTTTATAGTGACTTTAATGGAATATATTTTACTATCGTCAAATCAAAGAACTAAAACTCTTTGTTTATATATGCGTACATTAATCTGTGAATAAATGGCGTTATTATGATGTGTTTTTTAACACTACTACACTAGAATTTATTTTTATTGTTAAAAGACAACAATCTCTCGAAGTTATCATAAGTGCTTAATTCACTTTACGATCATATTTAAATCACTAACTTATGTCTTCTTATATCCTTGTATCAAATTAACATTAAAAAACTATGAAACTCGCATTTGTATGTAAATTTGTTAGTGCTTTTAACTACATGGAGGGTTACCATAACAATTTGTGTTTTTGAATGGAATGAAACCCATATAAAAATTATATAAATTGTTTTTATAATAAAAATAAAACAATTTAAGAGCAAACATTTTGCCACAATAACACAAGTAATAACTATTTCAGTGGCAAGCCTAGGGCCTAAGGGAGTCAAAGCAGAAAATACTCGTATCCTGCGGGATGTAAATAATTTATGAAATTGTCAACGTTGTCACTATTGTGTACAGTATGGCAAAATCCACATAAAAGCAATAAAATTTTCTGCCTCCTCTAGATTATTTCTTAATTTTCGTTGGAGGAATGCGATGCCAAACCGTACAACCAAATATGCAGGACATTAGCACGTCAACATACCAACCGCACATGCAATAAGAATAAATATTTTCAGCAAAAAATATTGACATGAAGCACACTTATTTAAAATTTTAGTTTGTCTCCTACGAACTGAATTGAACTGTAAATGCGAACTTAGGACATTCCTAAGAAGGAAACAAATTTGAACAGAAATTTCACACAAGCAAGCGAAGTCAACAGCTCCATCTGAAGAGTACGACAGGAAAGGACTTCCAAAGGACTTAAATGCTAGCACGTTTTAAGTTTGGCGTTGACAGTTGGCGTTTTCCAAACTATGTTAAAGATACACACAACCGACTATGTACACATGTTTAAAGGACATAAGAATACACAGTACTACATTGTCAACATGAAAATAAAAAGGAGCAGCAAAAAAAAAAAAAAAAAATTAAATAAAATAAAATAAAATAAGGAGAAGTAAGTTTTAAAGTTTCACACCCAACAAAGTTGCATGAAATATGAATCGCCGAAAATAAAAATAAATTTGTTTGGAAGCAGAAATTAATTTCGCTTTTGGTTGTGGGTGGCACAGATATTTTGGCTTCATTGTATTTGCTGCACAAGTATCCTTTCTTGTGTGATTGTGTGGCAACGCTGCATATTTCGAGCTCGAATAAAAAATTATTATGCGGGTCACGCTTCCGCTGAAACCGTTTATGAATATCTTCTGCTGCTTCCTGCTA